GAACTGCTCCCATTAGAGGGAGTCTCACCCAACAACAAGTCAGTTCCAACAAACAACCTCCTTTTTCCCCCCCTAGGAAAGAATACTCATCTCTCTCTATATATATATTTGGTGCAGAGCCTTTCAGGAAGCTGGCAATCAAGCAGAGTTGGGGAAGAGAGGCCAATGCTAAACAAAACATATGGCTTAGGGGACTACGCTTTTTTGAGAGGGAAGTAAGAGGCACTTAGGCAGCAGACCCACCTCCTCTCATTCCCTATTCTTTACCATGCAACTTTGCAGGTGCTAAATAGCCTCTGCTGCCTGATCATTTTACACATGATTTGGTCCAATGATTAGCCTCTCTAATAAAATGAACCGGGCAGTTTTTGTTGTTGTTGTTCTTGTACTTCTGGTGGCATTACTGCTGAGGTGGCCAAAATTTGCCAATCCTGAACTTGTGAACAATGTAAGCTCACTCTGAATGTCAAAGCGCAGAGGACTGCAGCCAGCTGTTATCTGGGCACAGGGAAATGCACACACAGTTTTTCACGCTGTAGTTACTACTCATAATACTGGTTTTTTAAAAAAAACACAAAACTGAGATTTTCCTGTGGTTTAAAATTAAAATATGGTACTCTTACCTAGGAGTAATATTTTGCATAGTAAGCCAAGCCATCATCTCTAACCTGCCGGGCCTTAGGTCTGGTTCAAATATGCATGTACGTTCTTTTAATTTTTCTATGCTTTGTGACAGGCGAAACAATGCCATTTAAAAGTGATGGATTTGAGGTGATGTAAGGAAACATGAAAATTATCTGTGATGTTATATTTGTAATAGCCCACTCAAACATGCAAGTCATTATTTAAACTGTGGGGGATTTTATAGTTTTGTTGGTTATTATGTTATGTATTCTTGTGTTTTCATACTGTCAAGCACCCTGTTATCCTAGGATGACGGGTAGAATAATAATAATAATAATAATAATAATAATGCATTTATCTACAGATAACTTTTACACCTTCTTTCAAATATGGGCTTGGAAACTTTACAAGCAACAAGCCAAACAGAAACCAGAAGCACACAAGGTATTTTCATGCTGCGACCCTATGCTGACAAAATACAAAATTGCAATATCAGGCTAGTTGTCTGAAGTTACTAACAGTGCAATCCTAACCATCTGTACTCCACAATAAGTCCTATTTAATTCAAGTGGGCTTCCTCCCAGGTAAGTGTAGCTTTGGTTACTGCCTAAATAATGTTTACAACTCACTCTCCTCTATAGACTACTGCCAATAGTTGCCTTTCCATTTTGTCCGATGAAGTAATTTATAACTTTGTTAGTTTGCCTACTCTTATGCTAACAGAAGTTGATCTAATATGTCTTATCTCTCTTTCTCTGTCTGAGAACTGTATCACACATTCCATGTAATCTGTAAGTGATACGTAGGCAGGTTCAATAAATCTGCTTACTTCTTTGCTATAGGCAAGTGCCCATTTCCCTTCTAGTGTGCAACTCCAGCTAAAATATGCTTTCCCTTCTGCAAGTCAAGCTTTCGTAAAATTATCTGTAAAAAGCACTAGCAGCTCCTCACTGCTAATTTCCTCAAACACCCAACAGGAATGGAGCAACCACCTTATTCTCCATGGAGGAAACAAGGAACAAGTCTTGGATAATAAGCAAAAGCAAAATTTATTGACCACTTTGTGTAGGTCATTGCTGCGATGATCACACACATATGAGCCTTTTGCTACCTTCATATGTGCTGAGAACCTGTGGCCAAATATGGTGTCCCAAATAAATACTTGCACATGCACAGCAAACGGCCAGCTGGGGCTAGTATCACTTATTTATGTAAAGCACTTATATACCTTTTTTAATTAAGGATTTCAATCTGTTTTACAAAAAGTTAAACAATCAAACAAACACATGACAAACAGCCAGCAGATAAAAGTGTAATTAAAAGTCATAGTAAAAACTTTATATGAATGCCTGGCCTTAAGATACAGCAAGGTTGGTAGCAGGTGCATTTTCCATAGGAGAACATCTCACAACTGGGGTGCCACTACTGAGAAAGCCCCTTCTCTCACAGAAATAAGTCTCACCACTGGTATCATGTTAATTAACCAACTTGTACTTTCTATTTCTTGATAAAGTGTGTGAATAATTGCTATAAAATACATTCTCACACAGTAAAGTATTCAGTACTGAGCAATATTGTAAAAAAAATGATTAACAGGTGTCACTGGTTCACATTTTTTTTGCAAAACATTGCATAGTACAACAAAAAGCTGGTTTGGGGCATGTTTATTGGAGATTTTATCAAAGTGTTGAATTCCAGAATTTTTTTTTGTCTCATAAAACATCAACAGAATGCTGTTCTTCAGAAAACACTCTCAGGAAGATCGTGCCTCCAAAGAAAATGTAAAAATGTTGAGAGCATAACAAATATCCTTGCTTTTTAAAAAAAATACATTACCCAATACAAGCATAAAAAGGTTAGCATTGTTTTATCATGACCGTCCAAAAATTGAGTCATGCCTAGATACGCCAAGTTTATTTTTCATGTATTTTGTTTTGTTTTGTTTTAAAACTGCTGTTTATTGATTAAAATCCCAGGACAGTTTACTGTAAAACAATATAGGGTTATATCCAGTAACACCATCCCATTAGGACAAGGACTTCAACTTGAGCCATGGAACTTCCACTTCCTTTCCTCCCCCTGCCATCCACATCTGCTCCAGAGGTTTTGCATGTTTTTAAGGGAGGGGGATTTTTTTTGCATGAGCTCTCGCTCTCGTTCTCTCTCTCTCTCTCTCTCTCTCTCACACACACACACACACACACACACGTTGTATAATATTTGAGGGATGTGGCTGGCACTGTGGTCTAAACCACTGAGCCTCTTGGGCTTGCTGATCAGAAGGTCAGCGGTTCAAATCCCCATGACGGGATGAACTCCCATTGCTCTGTCTCAGCTCCTGCCAACCTAGCAGTTCAAAAGCACACCAGTGCAAGTAGATAAATAGGTACCACTGTGGTGGGAAGGTAAACGGCGTTTCCGTCACGGTGTTCTGTTGCTTCAGAAGCGGTTTAGTCATGTTGGCCACATGAGCCGGAAAGCTGTCTGTGGACAAATGCCAGCTCCCTTGGCCTGAAAGCGAGATGAACACCGCAACTCCCATAGTCGCCTTTGACTGGACTTCACCATCCAGTGGTCATTTACCTTTTACCTTTTTTATAACATTTGAGGTTACAAATCAGAAATCCAAGTACAAATCCAGCTCAGATCACTGGTGACCTTAGGTACAGTATGTCATCTCACAGGGCAAACAGCTGCACTCTAAACTTCTTGGAGAAAGTATTGTGGGGACCAGGATACAAAAACATAGTGCCTACAAACAGATATCGGCATACGGCCCAAAATAAGCGCACCTGTGCTGGACTCACTGGGCTATGTGAGCACACACTAAGCCATTATGAAAAGGCCTGGGCACACCTCCCATTTCCACCAAATCCTACCCACCCCCCTACTCTCAGTCAAGCAACACAAGCTCCCATTTCTCATAATAGCCTGGCGTGGTACCCAAAAACAAGGGACAAAGGGAGAGAAAGGCAAACACAGATTGGTGGGGATCCTTCCGCAGAGGCACACTCTGCGTGCAATAGGCTCAAACACCCATATTAAACAGAATAGGAGAAATCCATCTATATTAATCACGTTGGACAAAATAGATTCAGGCTATTGGGGACTTCCCCACCCCCACCAAAAAAAGAAGTCATACAATTAAATCTTTACTAAGTGAGAAATCAAACTTAGCATACATAAACATGACTCAACATTTAGTAATCTCTACCAAAGGACAATTCAGTGGAAAAGCCAATTAAAGTAAGTTTTGTTTAACGTAAACAAGCTGCTGCCTTGGCCATATGTCTTTGTTCTTGTAAATGTAATCCCCCGGTTCTCTACCCTAGACTGGAGACTTTGAAATTCCTCTTAAGGATAATAACAGTAGACAGCACTTGAATGCTCCCTTTGAAGCACGCACTACACAGACTTTACTGCTGACCTTCAATTTTCAACAAGATTAATCCCAGATCTACAGTTGGGGTAGTCTAAACGTGATTATCAATCACAGTTGGTTTTTTGCATTGTTGTTGACCATTTCGAAATACGCTGCAAAATGGCAACCGGCAGGATATGAATTACCTGTTCAGCGTTGCATTAATATTTTATGCATAATATGGTCTTTATCTCAAAATGTTTTGAAGGCCTTTTTCTCCCCTACATATTTTATTTACTCTGGAGTAGTCAAGGATATTTGTCGCCTTGCTCTGTACATTGACCAGTGTATAATTACAGCAAACTAAAAACAGTCAGGGGGCATTCAATATTGAGCCAAAGGGAGCTTCCATAAGGCCACAAGAAAAGAAGATGAGCACAATGGGTAGGCCCTGGAAATGTAATAGTTTGAGAGAGAAAAATGTCTGGATTCTTTGGGAGTAAATGAGTGGATGAATGGTGTCGATACTGGAAGGGATGGAGGCTAGCACAGAAGTTCCCTACCAAAAAATAAACACTTGTAGAGGTAGAATATGCTACACACCATTTACTTAGAGGTGGGCAGAAATACCTCGGTAGGAAAGCACATACTTTTGAATACAGAAAGTCCAAGATTGAGTCTCCAGTTACTCATACTGTATAGCAGTACTGGGAGACACTTCTGCCTTATTTCTTAGAGCAGGCATAGACAAACTCGGCCCTCCAGATGTTTTGGGACTACAACTCCCATCATCCCTAGCTAACAGGACCAGTGGTCAGGGAAGATGGGAGTTGTAGTCCCAAAACATCTGAAGGGCCGAGTTTGCCTATGCATGTCTTAGAGCATCACTGTCAATCAGCTAAGTGGACCAATGGTGGGACAGCATAAGGAAGCGTCTGTCCTCTTATGTCCCACATAACACTTTAGGCTAATCTGAAGTATAAACAACATGAGTATGCAGACAACTGGCAACAATGATTGGATAGCTCAGTCAGTAGAGCATGAGACTCTTGAACTCAGGGTTGTGGGTTCGAGCCCCACGCTGGGCAAAAGATTCCTGTATTGCAGGAATACAGGCAGCAAGGGAAAACTGCTTAGAGGATCAGCATGGATTCTCCAAGCCCAATATCATCCCCAAGAAGCCTCAAAATTTGCCAAAACATATGCTCCTTCACTGGGACACAATACCTGGGCAGGCAACAAGGGAAAACTGCTTTGAGGATCAGCATGGATTCTCCAAGCCCAATATCATCCCCAAGGAGCCTCAAAATTTGCCAAAACATATGCTCCTTCACTGGGACACAGGTGGCACTGTGGTCTAAACCACTGAGCCTAGGGCTTGCTGATCAGAAGGTAGGTGGTTCTGTTGTTTGGTCCCTGCTCCTGCCCACCTAGCAGTTCAAATGCATGTCAAAGTGCAAGTAGATAAATAGGTACCGCTCTGGCGGGAATGTAAACAGTGTTTCCGTGCGCTGCTCTGGTTTCGCCAGAAGCGGCTTAGTCATGCTGGCCACATGACCTGGAAAAACTGTCTGCGGACAAACGCCGGCTCCCTCAGCCTATAGAGCGAGATGAGCGCGCAACCCCACAGTCGTCCACAACTGGACTTAACGGTCAGGGGTACCTTTACCTTTACCTTATGCTCCTTCACGGTTCAGAAAGACTGCAAGCAGAGTAAATAGGATGCACATTCAAATAAGCATCTGACTAAAGAGGTTGCCTCGCTGCAAATTACTGCTTTCAGTGGCATGTGCAGTTAGCTTCCCATCTAAATACATGTTGCAAACCTGATGGGGGTTATACATTCAGAGTTGCATGCCATCTGCTTTACCCAATGAGTCCTTAAAAATGAGGAAGGCACACAGCCTTTTCCAAGTTTAAAGAATCGTGGTGGGAGGGTCCTGGGATTGGAGGATGAGCAGCTTCTCTGAAGCAAGTTCACTTCACTCTATGTGAGTTTAATGCATTTATTGTCGTTTTCTATATTGATTTCACTGTTTATTTATACAACTGTAGCACAAAAGTGAAAGCTACATGTTCTTTTAAAAAAAGGTTAAAATTACTGTGTATTTGTACAACTGTGGCAGAAAAATTTAAAAAATTAAGGGTGGAAAAAAGGAGATGTTACATGAGTTCCTCTAATCCTGGGAACATGACTGGGGATTAACTGAACTGCCAAGACTTCACAGAAGTAACAAACGATACCAGATGAAAGCTTGCCTCCATAAGCTGTGTCAACTTCATTATGCTGTTTGAAATATATTAGCACCAAATACACTTTCCCCTCCACAAACAGTTAAGTTCCCCACCCATTCGGGGTTTAGACATAGCAGCCGAAGTTGTATCATCATTGGAACCTGAGGGAGGAAATCAAGAGGCTGAACGAGTTTTTCAAGCTCTCTTCCACTATTAAGTTGTTATTCCAAAATAGTTTTTGCCCAGCTCAAAACTGCAACACTTTTGCTCTCTCTGTCTTACAAGAAAAAAAACTGTGCAGTCCTGGGAAGATGACTCATTAGCAAATCCTTTTCTACTTGCCGAAAACCTGCCCCTCTTCATTAGGAACATAAAAGATAAAAGCTCTTAAATGGCATTAGCTGGAATACGCCTACACACAGTCAGTACAAATAAATTAATTGCACCTGGCCTCTAACAGCCAAAGTGTAGCAGGAACATCTTGTTTCATTAACAAATTAAACTGTAATAGAGTATCAACACTCCTGTTATGAACATAAACATTGTTTGGCAACTGCAAATGATAGAAATACAAGGTGAATCCTCTGGTACCTACATCTTATAGCAATGAAATGTACCATATTAACTGCAATTAAAATACTTTTCAAATACGGTACTGAAAGAAATGCCAAACCTACCACTGAACAATTCTGAAAGTTCAACAAATCACATGTACTAGGTGTAAAGAGATTTTAAGTGAGAAGAATACATAAACTGATTTTTTTTAAAAAGGGAAAAAAGAGGTTCTCAAAGCTAACAAGGTACGCATCATTCGTGATGGCAAAATAGATTTTAGATCTACACTAATATTCCTGGATCTGGGGGGTTGCTTTACAACTGAACACACTGCAATCCAGCATGTTCCTTCTGGAATGTTCCTAGGTCTTTAGCATGAGAAAGCTATGCAGGACCAACCTGAAAAACAAGTTCGACTCAACTAGCCCACAAGCTAATTTTACACCCTCCAACGCACCTTTCTAAGATTTCTTTTGTGCAGACAACTTGTGCAATCCAGTCCCAGGCAATAACTTAACTAAATGCCAAGTACTCTCTTCATATGCCACACAATTTTTTTTAAAAAAATATAAATTTTCATTTAAAAATCAAAAGAGATCGCCATAAAATGATAATAAGTGTTCCATCATATTGAATTAATTTTCCTTTATTCCCCCTTATGGGTGAATAAAGATAAATTGTGGAAAATTTCAATCACCACAGAGATTAGCATCCTGATTTATTTATTTTTTAAAGCCAATGAGATATTTGCCTTTCACTTCAGTGCAGCTAAGATTTCAGCCACCACTGCTAAATAAAAAGCAGTTCTGATCCTTTTGTTGTTTCATTTCCAAGAAACACAGCACAATGTGATAAATAGCATGTGTGGGTATGGGTATACTTATATATTCTAATATACAAATATCCATATATGTCCTGAGGCATAAGGCTGCCCTTGCTATAGCAGAGCAATTGAATGCAAGTTCTCCTCTCCTTCCATCAGCTATCCCCTAGCAGCATTTATTACATCAGACTGTAGCAAAGGGAGGAAGGGAAGGGAAGCAGAGCCATTACATTGGTGCAGCTGAGAGACCTGCATCTTTCAGCTTCTCATTTCCTTGAACAGCTTTCATTTCCAGCTGGCAATTATAAGAAGGAAGGAAGAACCAGCACCCAAGTTTGCATTCCTCCTCCTCTTTCCTTTCGTGTTCTTTCTTTTGCATGGTAAGCCTCAGGGCAGGAGGCTTATGACTGATCCGTACAAACCACTCCAGGGTCTATTTTGGCTGATGAACAGGGTATGAAAGTCCTTCAAGTATATACATCCACAAAAGTTATTACCACATAAGACTTTTGTTAGCTTACCTACACATCTGCATTGGTGTGTGCACTGGCTGCCTGAATCAGGGATGGGGGGGAACCTCAAGGTGTAGCTGGATTCCAATTCCATAATCAGTGGTCAGGGATGATAAGAGGGTTGGGGGAGGGGATTGCGAGCAAACAGAAATAGAGCCGTTGCTACCAAAATTAAGACTGTGAACAGCGCAAAGCCAATAATAAAATTGCGCCCATAAAACAAATTCTCTGGAATGGGTAATTGATGACCTGGCTCATCGTACATCAGCTGCAGAGTGGCATCGAAAAACAACATTACATTATTTGGGCATGGATCCTGATCCAGGGACTTACCTGTGCATGTGTGCATCAAAGGGCTTTATCTGCCCTGTTATTTAATACTGATGGAGCTGTTTTTTTATTATACTCCCAACTCAGGATCACTTATTGAAGAAGGAAGGTTCAAAAACTAATTTTAAAGGCATTGATAAAATAAGTGCTTTGCACATGTCTCTTTGCTTTTCACTGTGAACAGCAGCTACTGTGCAGGAATGACAGAAGCAGAGCCAGAAGTGTACCAGCAGGACAGAAGGTTGGACCAGAACTTCCAGTTTCTCTGTGTGTCATGTGTTTTCTGCAATATGGCACTAGATACTACTGCAATAAGCTATCCTGGAACACTGATAACTATTACCAAGTTATTTTTACATATATACTCTTCAGTAGTCCAGAACAGCTGCTTTACAGCATGCAACTGAAGACCAAGAAGTACCAATTTTTTGTATTTTTAAGAACACAAGGAGAGATATAAAATGTGAAATCAACCATCCAGGCTTTGAAAATAAAATAAATACTTGTTGGCAAACCTGTGGTTGAGTGTACAGTATAGAACTACAGCCATGGTTTTATCCAGTGTTAATTCTTCTCAGAGCAGACCAGTTGAAAATACAGTAATGGACATTACTAACTTAGTTCCAGTCAATCCAGTAGGTCTACTTTAAGTAGAACTTAGTTGGATGCAACCCATTGTGACAAACCCAAGTTTGCCTTTGCAAACAATCCTCAGTTATATCCACTAGTCCTCTGTAAGGAAGTGCTGACTACATTGGTTCTCTTTGCAGCCCAATCCATACCCTCCAACATTTTGGGAAGGCAATTCAGGGCATCCCCACCAGCACCCCCACCCCACTGACCCAACTGCTCGCCCCCTCCCTGCTGCCGACCCCTTCTATGTTTGGTTGTTAATACATAGATACCCACTCCAGCTATTCATATAGAAGTTTAAAATGGCACGAATTATCTTTCCTGACAAAAAGAAACAAGAGGCAACAGCAACATGACTCCCATCTTCAACGTGACCCAACCACAACCCATTAAGATGAGGCATGTAATGTCTGATATGTAAGCATAGCTCTCCTTTCTTTCATGGGGTTAACACTTGCCCCAGGGGATGACTGTGCAATACTTTTGTTGAGTGATTACTGTTAAAAGGAAGATTCAGCAGCAAAAACCCACATATGCATCTAATAATTTGCCTCTGCATAATTTAAATGTGTATTCTGTAATGTGACTGCAGTAGTTAAAAGAGAGAGAAACATGCAGAACAAAAATCTAGTCGTATTTTGTTATACATGCAACCTGCCTTCTGCTCCCACCATTCTGGAACTAGCTCAGAGAAGAGAGGTCTGCACAGCAGATTTGCTTGACCATAAACAGCAGCAGGGGCTCAAGAAAGTGGACATATTGTTTTGTGATTAACACATCATTAACCCACCATGAGCTCTGAAACTGAATAAATCACCAAATAAATAAATACCTATGATCCTGAAGCTCTTTACTACAAATGCATGCCCAAGCATTTAAGCATAAATGCCTCCTCCTCGATGCATCTCTACCTTCATTCATATGATGGGTAATCTTCACTAATTTGGGATAACTGCTTGCAAAGGATGAGGCACTTTGGGATGGAAGCCATTTTGCAGGT